TCTGCACTTCAGTCGCATTTTTATTGTTCGATTTAAAATCCACAGCGACGGTGCACAGAGGCAAAACTACAAAAGCTGCATCACCGTCAGTCTAGTGGCCTAAACTATTATCTCTTTACCAAAATTGAATTTTCTTTCCTACACGGGCACACAGGGTCCCATTAAAACATTTAAAAGGGTTGCATAATACTCTCAAATGCTGGAGGACATATTTGTTTTTTGGAAACATGAGTTGTGGAGGATTTGGGAAATTGATTAGTTTCTGTGAACTGGAAAATAAATATTGAAAGTGAAATTTTCCTATATTGAAAGAAAGACTGGTTCAGATTTAAAACAACAGGGATTTACTTTAATTAACTTTTTTTTTAAACTTTGGCTAAAAAAAATGAAGTCAACGTGCAGTAAAAAAAACAAATAAAGTTTTGGCTTGAACCTGTTTAAAGTTTTAAAGTGTCCATCATTAGTGGCAATGCTACTTTGATATCTAGATCCTCACATTTCTACATGCTATAGCTGTAGACTCACACCAGGGGGCAGTGTTAAAGTCTTTTGGAACAACTTGTCTGAGGGCTACTAACATTTGCATCTGTGCTGTAATTGGTCCTCTAGCTTAATGAGTGTTAAAAACAATTTTTTAAAAATCCACTTTCCAGAGTTCTCATGTAAACTTTCTTGATCTTTAATGATTTTTCTTCACTTCTTTCTCTTTGTGGTGAACTATAAACTGAAATAAACTTATCACCTTTCTGTCCCCGCGCAGCACCAACGGCTGCTGTTGCCAACACAGACTGCACACAAGCATGTCTGTGTTGATTGTTATTCAGGCCTTTACCCTACACAGACAGACATAAATATAGTATCACAAATAACTTGACTCGTGGACTGGATTTCCCAATGGTGCTTGTGGTGTTGAAGCCTATTAATTAAAGTATAAATTAGTATCAACCAATATAAACACATGAGCTCATGTCTGGCTTACGTGGGAGCCATTCTTATAACTGAACCGCTCATGTAGTAAATTTACTCTATGAACACTGCCCTCCTTTTCAGCAAACTAGATACGACCAACATGTCTGCAAATTTGACACGGTGAATGTGTTGGTACTAATGGTTTGGCTACACTGCCATCTTCATGTCAGCTCCAGCTCTTAAAATCTATTGTTACTGACACCCATGTATACAAGCTGCAGGGCTGAGTCACTATTTGCAAGTCAGTCACACAAAGCAGGAGCACTGCTTTGGTTTCTCTGTAACACAGTCCAACTCATTCTGGAGTCATTCCATCTCAGATTATTGTGGTCTTTCTGCTCGACCATCCAAATCAGGGATGTCAAATATCGTGGGCCACATACAGCCCATTCTGATCTTAGGCAGGCCGGACGAGTAAATCTCATCATTGCCCAGATTGTCCTGTAATTATAAAACAAAAGTTTAAAGGCTACTACGGTATATAGTTTTTGTTAATTCACATGGTAGTCACCCTTTTTTCTCTCTCTCTTTTGACACTGTGGACCACTTGTAAAAACTGAATTTTTTAATGACATAAATAGTTGAAAAAGCTGCTTATTACATTATTCTGTTGAATGACCATGTGGTAAGTCTTTATCCATGGAAAGAGTTATAAAACTTCTGAAAATAAGTCCAAATATTGTGCCATTCTATACATGGCTGCTTCCCCTGAGCCTGGTTCTGCTGGAGGTTTCTTCCTGTTGAAAGGGAGTTTTTCTTTCCCACTGTAGCTAGAGAGGGCCATCTAATTGTTAGGGTTTTCTCTGTATTACTGTAGGATTGTTACCCTACAATAATACAGGCTCCTAATCGCAGTATGTGAACACGGCAAGTAGACCTTGCAAGGCTACTCACATGAAATGAGTTACTAATTCTTTTTTCATTACGCTTAATGGTTTTTATTTATTTATTTGTACATATGACAACTGTTATATATGTGCGTTTTAATGCCTCTTAGTACATTTTCATCTTAACCTGAATTATTAGACTCCTCCAGGGGAATATGCTTGTCTATAAAGTGGATCTCAAGGTTAAATTCAATATATTTTCTTCATTTTTGTGATTAAGAAAGTACGCTGTGTGTTTTATAAATAAAGCTGTAAACCATTCAGAAATTGTCCTTTTTTATTAGTGTGCACTCAAATATGCAACTCTGTATTTTATCTAGTCAATACTCAGATATTTTTTAGGTATCTGTCCCCTGGTTCATTTTTATGGTGAGAAAAGCCAGTAAAAGTTTCAGGCTTTCACCCGTAATATCTTTTTGTTATATTTATGTTCAGGTATCACTTCAGGTTTCAAAGTCCAAAAGAAAAGGGTCAGGAGCTGCAGTAACCCTACATTAAAGTAATCAAGCATTAAAACTTTGTTTTTCCAATTAGTGTTCTGAAAATATCTTCAACGATTAAGTTACAATTTACTTGCGGTGAGGTGTTTCTGTTCTGTTTCTTTGCTGTAGAATGTAATATTATTAAAAAAATTTTTTTAAAAAGGTTTTTTTTTTGTTTTTGTTGGAAAAAAAAACCCCCCACAAAAAAGAAATCTGTTCTTTTTCTCTCCAAACTGCCCACGAAATGTATTCACTGCTCCATTCAGATTCACACCTTCCACTCTGGACAGACTTCTGGTCTCCAGTCAAAACTAATCTGGTAACGCCCGGGGAGCGCTCGAAATACACCACCACCCAAATGCGTGCCCCCTTATCGGGGTTTTTAAAAAAAAAAAAAAAGCACCATCACCACCACAAACAGTAATTTCGTTGTTACTGAGCACCGGCACCCTGGGAGCTGCAGAATTGCTCTTGACATTTTGCTGATTTGAGCACCCCACCCCCTGCAATTTATTTACCTTTTCACTAAATGGAAGTTTTCACTGAACTGAGAAAAAAAAATTTATTCCACGTCAGGGAGCTTTTCTTTCCATTTTCTAATAATTTAACTTTCAGTTATTCCCCTTTGTATTGCCTAGAAATGTTAATTAAATCCAGTTCATTGTTCTTTACTTTTGATTCACTCGACTTGTTCAAGTGTTAAAATAAAGTTATCCCTTTAAAATTAACACTCTAATCTATTGTAATTCATGGTTCACACACTCCCAAACACCAAACCATACAGTTGCAGCTATTTTTAAGCCCTTGGTCTGATGCAAATCCCGACAAATCCCTTTGGCTCAGACGGGGTATGACACATCGTGCCTGGCAGCGAACGTCCTCCACAAATCAGAAGCCGCTCTCCGAGTATCCTCATGAATTTTACAGTGCAATCAGTGCAGAATATATCAAAAACAGCTTTCCATCAGTGCAAGTAAACCTAAGAGACTCGAAGGCTACTTAAATGTCACATCCTGAGTAGATTCCCAGCTTTTCTTCCCCCTTATATTAGTCGTCAACATGGCAGCTCAAAGACTTCTCTTTCTATTCTCCGATCAATACTTTACAATTAGAGGAACCAGAAAATGGCTTTTATGGTTGCTTTGACTGGAACTCATTCCACAGCATTAGCATAATATATTGCAAGTGTGCAAGGAAGCTACTCTAATGCTGATGCCTGCCTTGGATCTAAACCACATTTTTCCTGTTTTTCTGATTATACAACAACTTCTGTTTTCTTAATCAGACAACGCTACCTCAGAAAACAACTCTGCGCCCCATTGACCTTGAAAATTGAGCTTTCTAAACATTTTAACAGAGTAAAAAAAAATTGTATTTTGAACTTCTCCTAACCATAACATAGTTGTTTTTGTAACTAAACCTAATTTAAGCTGTTGTCACACATGAACTCCAGATAACAGATAAAATCAAGTCTGCACAGAGGTGGTCTCACTTTAGCTGAGGTTTAGATGAAGCTGCTGTCTGGGTACAGCTCACAGGAGGCAGTGCGCACGATGCCTATTTGCTTGCTGTGAATTCTCCATACGCATTACATTCTCGCCTAACTCTGCAAAGCCAGGCTCTGGTGAAGACCCAAAGTGGTCCTGACGCGCAAATTGTTCCCCTGACCTGATTTGAAGTGAAAGACTAATCGATCTCTCAAGCAACTGATTCCCTTCAGGATCCCTGGAGCCAAGTCTTTCTGTTTTACTGGGCAAAGTAAATGACTAGAGGTCTTTGAGCCTCAACAATCTCAATCTATTCTCCAACTTTAAATGCATAAGAAGCACAGCTCGCTGGCTTGTGGCCGGGTGTGGTATATGAAAAGCACAGTGGGACGCTTTTTGTAAGAAGAACTGGAGGGCAGGATGAACTAGCCCCAGGAAAAGTGTGGATACAGACAGTGGGACGGTGACCATGGAAGCTAATGAGTGCGTAATAACTCACCAGCCAAGTCAATTCTGTTTGTGAGTAGCAGCCAATAAAAGGAAAGCTACCTGAAAAACAAGGGTCTCCTTAAAACAAGAGCTAAAACAGGACTGCACCAAGGCCTTGTATAACATTGTTAAATCTGAAAACTGTGAATTATGCAAAGCACTTTAATAGAATCCAAGAATAAAAATACAGAGCTGGAAATGGCCTTAGTGGGTCTCATTTAAAAGAAGTCTAACGGCCCCGGAGTCAATCTCCTGGTCAAAATTAAGACGCGTTTGTTCCACCTCTGCTGCACCTCTCTCTTAATAACCTCTTAAAAGTGGAAAGACACTTGTAGGCTGATTCAGGAATCCTTATGTGGACTGTTACGAACACTGCAAACAAAAAAGCATCACGATTGTTTAGTTGTTGCTCTGAATATGCAGGAAGTATTCGCTCGTATTGAAAGCAAAACCAAAAAAAGTTTCTTTAATTATTAAATAAAACATAACTTTTATATTTTCTCCGTCTTATTTCAAAGCCGATCTTTCTCGACTTTATTATGCACCACCCTGCAGGAATCACATGCACTGTCTATCTATTTCAGTTTGAACCCTCGAGCCAGCTACCAAACATGATCCAGATGGCTTCATGATCCGGCACGAAAGCAGCACGGAGACGAGGGCTGGTACAGCTGGTTTAGACTGACCTGTGTTACTGTGGCTGAAGACTGCCATGGTCTGTCCACCCACTGGGTGCATTGTGAAGGGATGATCCTTTGGGACCTCCAGTGATGCATCGTTCTCCCCCACAGCATCCAAGGCTATCAGCTCGTCACTGAGGCTGAAACATACCTGAGAAACAAAGCTGGAGGTCAAACACGATGCACTGAAATCATATCGATCCATCAGAGGGAGGTGGGTCAGAGCAGCAGCAGACAGTGACGGGATGTAATATAGAAGAAAGAAAGAGTAAAATTACACAAAGCTAGCCGTGATATAATCTTGATTTCAAATATAGAATATATAGGTGGGACTGCGGACATTTGGACAGTGACACAATTTGAATAATTCCAGCTCTGTAGGCCATCACAGCAGATAGAAAACAATCGAGTTTCAGCTCAAATGAAGGGCAGACTCTCAACAACAATATTGCATTAACTTTTAAAGTCATTTTAAACACAATATTTTACACGTTGGTGATAAAACCTTTATTTTTAATACTTTGTTGACAAACCTTTTGCAGGCGATAAATACCTGAAGCCTGAAACACTTGACACCAACAAGAAAACTGTTTTCAACTTTGTGATATTTTTAAATTTTTCTTATAAAAGGTGTAATCCCTAAAACCCTCAAATTAAACCAGAGTCTGCACTTTAAGTCATTAATTCACAAGATAAGTGCAAATATTTGGTACACAAGTTAAATATTAAAAATGATACTCATGTCCAAAAATATGAAACTAACTTGATTTAGTATGAAGGTGTGTATATCATTAGAAACAAGCCGTTCCTGCTGATCTAAAAAACAGGAAGAAAACAGGCGGAAAGGCCTTTAAAGGTCATCTCATTGTAGTTAAAAACCAGTGTGTTTTATTCAAACATTTAACCAACAAACCAAATCATCCAAAGCTGACTCACCTCTGTTTTGCCTTGCTTCCTGTCGGGATTGTGAGAAAACAGAATAATTTAACATTTCATTAATCTCAATAAGTCAATTACAATTTTCCCACAGCTACAGCCAAGATTCAGTTTATGATGATGATGATATAAACATTCAAAAACTGCCATTTTTGTTAAAAAATACTTTTTTAAAACAGCTGCTGAACAATCAGCTAATCACTGCAGCACTAACACTAAAAACTAATATGGACACATCCACACTGCGGTACCTACTTTCCAATGGCAATCTTTCCAACTTCTCCCTTTTCTGCAGCTTTGTCCCACTGCTGAGATAAATACTTGGGAACCTGGAGAGAAATGCACCAGTTTAAAGGCATCATAAGAAGAGTGCATTCATGTTTGGGGGAGTTGCTCTCCTGACTGTTGTGTTTACCTGAATTTTAGTTGACCAATTCATATGCTGATATTTTTCCTACTGACTGAGATCTATAGGTGGTAGGTATAGGGAAATAAAATTAATTAAAATAATCTGCTGTCACTTTGTTTTTGTCCTGGTTAAATGCAATAACACACCCGATGTGCATCTTTAGGGTGAACTATGCATTGACGGTCATAGCATGGTTGAAGGACGTTTCTCCCATTGCTGCTGTTTTAAATACAGATATCGATAGATGATCAAATGGCTAGTTTAGTCCCCTTATCAAAGGGCTCTAATCATAAGTATCACATGCACTGGGAGCTAGCACCATTAGCTGCCGCCTTGAAGTTGGAAAACAACACAGTTTCTGATGTAATCCCAGAGGTATGAGTCCAAGATACCTGACGAAAAGCTGAAACCACTTCTTGAGTATAACATCATTATCTTTACATTTTCTATACTTATTTTTATGAATGTTTTCATCTTAAACTTTTTGGACTGAGGGAGAAAATGTCTTTGATGTGTTATTTGGGATTAAGATTCATTTACAGAAAACAGATGTTTATTTTATTACTGGAAATTTGCAGTCATTTTAAATTTTATTTTATATTCAGATGATCTGTGAGAGAAGTGCTCACCCGTTAAGGAATTAAACAATGAATAACCAAGGGAATAAGTCACAAAGCCATCCTCTAATTTATTTTGAATATCAAGCATATGCATCCCTTTTCTCTTTATTCTCTTCTCAAGTCACAATTATTTGTACTTCTTGTATTGCAAGAAATATTTATTAGACTTAGATATTGATAAAGGACAGCTTAAAATCTTGCTCCGATTCTTCCAAGTGGGCTAATCTTTTC